AAGTAAGGACATTTTGGATGTGGTTTTAGACTACGACAGCAATGATAACTCTATCCAGTGCCTCTCTTTCTCTTTTTCTGTCTCTCGCACTCTCTCTCTCTCACCCCTTTTCTCTGTCTCTGTCAGATCTGTCTACACACACCCTGTAGTATTTGTGACATTAGTGTGAGGTTTGTCTAAAGGCTATGCTCTAGGCTGGCTGATGACCCACAGGGCAATCCACTCATCCATCTTCTGTCCTTCACATGTCTATTCATCTCTATCTGTCTGTGTTCTTTTTTTCACTGTGCTCACTCTCATGGGTCTTCTTTAAATGCTTAATGAAAATGGGACATATTGGAATCCTTGCTCTCATGCCTCCACTCTAAACTGCCATTACAGATTTTGCAGTGAGCATTTTTACTACTGTTTCAAACGTGAAATAATCTCACACCACCGACAAGTTGCTTGCTTCAGCTAAGATCTATCTACTGGCATACATGCAAGCAACACTCAGTAGCATGTGCACATGTCAGAAATTTCTTCATGGTATCAGTAACACTACTTTCAAGATTAAATATTTCAATATTTAGTTGTAGGGACCTAATTATTAAAATAGCAAATAACTGAATAACTCAAAGCTGCTTTCTGACTTTTGTATAATAATCAGTCTGAATATTTGAACAGTGTACAGCTGATCCTGGATAAGCACTGAGACACTTGCTGATCAGAATAAACCAATCACAGCCCAGACTTCAACCAGGCTGTACTCACAGAGTAGTAACACTGATCAAGTGTCAATGTCCTCTTGCAGGTCCTTATTTTAAAAGTGAAACACTTGTAAAAATCTGTTTGTGGGTTAGCACTATTAGTACGGCCCCAGGGACCACCATCTTGACAAGGTGAGTTGCTATAGCAACCCAGGGCCTTTACAAGAAAAAGCTGTGCATGCACCATGACTGAATATGTTCTGGTATGAACAACAGACATACAACAACAAGAAAATCACAAACAGATGAGGAAATAAAGCATGTACATATAAACTGTTGTTTCGTTTGTGGTGAGTTGGTGGAGGGAGGGCAAGGAATGGGAACAGCTCCTAAAATGTGTCTGAAATGTCTTCCAAGTGTTTGCAGGTGTAGATTTATGGGCTTTTCAGGAGTTTTTGTGCATGTTGCATATTCTTTGCCCTTAGAAGTCGAGATTTATTACTTTGTTTTTGCTACATTACTCAAATGTGATTATATAATTACATACTTCATTACCTAGTTCATTACACAAAATTACATTTATATTCAATTCACATTCTATTTCCACAGGGTCGAGTCAACAACTCAGGAATATAGCAAAATGTAACGAACACTTTTTTTCTTGCAGCAAAATTAATTAAAAATAAAATATCTCCTTTTTTACTTACAACTACAGATGAGGTATTGACTGGAAGTTTAGAATCCAGACTTTTCACAGAATTTCTCTGCTTGTTTTACTAAGCTGTAAGTGAAAAACCCCCATCCCCCCACCAGCATACAGCAGGACTTACATAGGCAGAGGGCTGCAAGCAGACGTAGGCCGTTCTCTGGGGGAAAGCAGGTGGGGAAGAGGGGCTGCAGGACATAGTTAGAGAAGGTCAGAGCGATGACTGCCTGGTTAGTGGGGTAGATCACCAGCACAGCGATCCACAACCTTAGAAACCTGTAACAAGCAAACATACACAAACATGATCACACTGATATAATGCTCTGGCATACTAGTTCTGAAGTGAAACAACAACCGTGACATATAAGCAGTCTATCAGTTTTTACCCAGGCTCATTACATGCAAGCCTCATTATTCAGTAACTACAGGGTACAGGGACTTCAACTCAAGCTGGCTGAGCTATTCTTAAGTTATAGAAGTGTGTAATAAAACTTTGGGCCCACCCATGGGCACTGCCCATTTAAAGGGTTATGTCGACGGTACTTACATTAGGAATAAAATGGTTCATCTTCATACAGAAATAAAATTGCTTTGTTTTTTACACAGTCCATTTTTATATCTAGCTTTTTTCAGTACAGAGTCCTCTATTTCAGAAGACCACTTAACTGGACAATTAAATATTAGATTGTTTCTTTCTCAGTGTTTTTTCAGCTATGTGTTGTTGCATCAGTAGCTCTTATAGATAACAAAAGGCCTAGAGCTGATTCCAGATAAGGTATTTGCATCTGCTATTGCATTGCTGTTGTCTCTCTATATGAGGACCTTAAAAGTTTAATTGCAAGGTAAGCCAGCCACTATGAGGCTGAAAAATCAGAGCCATAGACGAGATATTAGCTGCATCGAAATCAGATGTTTGGTACATCAGGAATACTTTCAGTAATGAATAAAAATTACTGAACATGTCAAGAAAGCCATCCAGGATGTGGGTTTGGATAGGTCAAAACTGCAATTAAGAATACACACCAGCATGATCTCAGAGAGTTCACCACGACAGCAAACTACTGAACATACTTAGGAACAAAAGTACACAGATAGCTTGTAGATGTCTGGGACAATGTCTTATGTCAGGTGAGATGAAAATGTACCAGAGTGGTAAAATAAGAAAGAGTTGGGAAAAAGGGAACAGATCCAAAGTAAACAACCTCATCTGTGAAAGATGTTGGCATGGACGTGTATGGTGGCCAGTGAAATTAGCTCACCTTATAGTTTTTTTTTTGACTGAACTCTGAAGTATATAAAAACACCTTAACTGTTCACATCAAACGAAATACCTAAAAATGACACTTCACCTTGACACATATCACGAAAGCAGATGTGGATTTTTTCTGGGTCAATAAGTGGAATGTTTCACTCAGTCAGCGTATATTTTACTTACTCAAGACAGACATGAGTGAAGAACCTACAAAACAAGGAAGAACGGAAAATGCCACCACAAGACTTCACAACAGAAGCATTACAACAGAAGATACCCACTGTCTGGGAAAGGGTATGAGTCACACACTTCAAGAAGTCATTGACTGCAAAATATTTCCTACCACACACTAAAAATGTATTTTATTTATGTCTAATTGCTTATGGTTCCCTGAAATGGAAATTGGGGCCTGAAATGGAGGCACATAACAAGGGGGTGTGATTCCTGTATTGTTCCACCAAAATAAATGTAAATACTTCTAAATTAAAGCTGATGTTCACTTTATTGTTTCAATTCAAATCCAATGTGCTAGAGCATACAGCCTAAATAATAAAATATTGTATCACTGTCCTACTAGTAATGGTATACTATTAATTTGGATTTATACAGCTAATGCAATGTGCAATAGGCTTAATCATTATAAGAATTATTACATATTATAACATGGTGATATGCAGTCAGTGTGGTAAAGGTTAAGCATGCAATGCAGAGCAGACCGTATCACTGATACTCACTGGTATGTAAGTAAAGCATAAGCCTATCGTAAGCACTGTATTAGTATTAGCAAATGTCCTCTTAGTGCAGTCCAGCAGCTATCACACATGGGCTAATTAGCTAACAACTGAATTGGAGACACTTGCGCTAACAGGGTTACAAGCTGACAGGCTGTTGGTAGTGGCAGTAAAGGGTGAAGGAGTTTTCTCATTTAACACAAGGGCTGTAGGAGGTCTGGTCGAGTGGGATTTAGCTGTGTGGAAGGATGGAAACAGCAGGGGAAACACAGCAGCCACTTTCCATTCATTTTCCATTTGCTCTGAGAGAAGCTCATTTTGTCTACACTGATTCCGCTTTGATACCTTTGTTAGCCTAATGTCTGCAATTCCTTATACCACTGAGCTTTGGGACATTATGTCTTCAACAAGTGCAATGCAATGAGATCCAAACCATTATAATAAAATTATTTTTACATTAGTGACTGCTCACAAAACACTTAAATGAACAAAGAATTACTATTATTAATTACTTATTAATGAATAATGCTACTATTGCTAGGGTTTTCAATTACTCATGAAAGACATCCCATTCAAGATGTAGCTTGAAATGTAGGCCCAGGAAATCCCACAACTTACACAGTGTGTTTGCATCACTCACAAAGTCAACTGATGATAAGTCAGAGATAAAAAGCTAAATAATGAGAAATAATAATGTTTTGTCTTGGTTCACTAAAGCATGATAGCCATTGTGGTACACATAATATTTTTCCCATTTAAAAACTCTCACCCTGCCAGTCCTCCAAAGATGTCCTTGACGTAAGAATAGTCGCCACCAGACTTGGGAATGGTGACGCCCAGTTCAGCGTAGCAGAGCGCTCCGATGGCTGTGATGACGCCTGTGATGATCCAGACAATGAGTGCTAGGCCTACAGAGCTGGCGTTCTCCAGCACACCTTTAGGGCTGACAAAAATGCCTGAGCCAATGATGTTACCTGGGACAAAAAGAGCAAGAAAGATAAGGGTTAATAAAGTGGAACACTAAACTTGCGACATACTTATGTGTTATTTGGGGTATTCAAGCTTTTTTGATGACATTGCTGTGTCCTATTTACATGATTGATTAATACACTTTAAGAATGTTTTGCTGGACTAGAGGAAGAAAGGGAAGATGTGATTAGCTGACATATTTTTATAAGAACCAATCACTGACCATGACAGTGAAATTGCAAAAAACATTCAAGGCTTGAGCTTTAAAGGCTTGAGTCCTGTGTGTCTAACAGGAATCATTTCAAATTCAGATAAGGGTGTAACACACGTAGCAGGCAAAGGGCAAAGTAATAACACTCACTCAGCAAATCCATCAAAGTCCTTCCTGAAGGCCTGAACAGGCAAGGAGAAGCTACTAAGGCTCTCACTATAAAACAACTAATCCAGGATTACTTTGATAACCGATCAAATAATCAGAGTTGAAAACTATAAAACAATAAAAACTGACTTAATTGAACAATAACAAACCATGTACAGCCTTTCAAAGATTCCAAAATATGTTAATGGAAAAAAGATAAGAAGAAAGCCATTAAAAAGATTAAAAAAAAATCATAAACTATAAAAATCGCCATCAAAATTGGTATTCAAACTGACAATAAAATTTATAGAAATTGAGTACTAATAACAGCTTACGGGATGTACTATTTATGCACTATTTATGTGTTTTTTTAAGTCAGGAGAAAAAAACACTCTGAAATATGTTGTGTGTGTGCTGCGAGTTACCCTGTAAAGCCTGAATTAATCATTTAAAAGTCAGAGGTGTCAGGTTGGATTTCGCTGGAGTTTTTCGGACCACATCATATGGTTTTACTTATTAACGTCACACACAGGTTAAAAAATAAGGTCCAGCTCAATGTGTAGGTCTCAAGTGTGAAATCAACATTATACTGATGGAGATATGATGACAGTAGTAGATAATTCACTTACATCCTCAGAAGACAAATTCTTTACCAAGTTTCAAGTTCTTTTTAAATACTCTTTCAATGTGCTCGAAATCATCAGATTCATCCAATCAGGAAAGAGGTCCAAAGCACAACCGACATTACAAAATGTTCTCCCATACATTGTGTGCAGTTACACATTTCCACCAAAGAGGTCTCCAAATCCCCAAAACTTACATAGCATAGTTTAAAATCGGTGAGTTCAGAGGATAAATTGTGACCACCCCAGAAACTGCAATGTGGGGCCCTGAAATACATGATCTCATACAGTAACTGAATTCGGGAACCAAAAGGGTTATATCAGAAAATAAAGCCATTCTAGATGTGGCACTGAGGACACAGAAAGCAGAGGGGGCCAATTGAGCACAAAGAGACAGGACATTAATATCTGTGAGAAACCTTCGCCTTGGCATGGCAGAGACAAATGGGGTGATATAAAAAGACCAGCAAGGTAGAAAAAGGCAGAGACCTGACTGTGTGAATCAAAAGGAAATAAGAATGTCAAAGAGAGAGGGGGGGGGGCGGGGATAGGGCGAGAGCGGGAAAGCACAAGGCCAGCAGACAGAAAGAGTAATTTGCTGAGTCAGAAATGAGGATGGGGAGACAGAGTGAGGTGAATGAGTTCAGATGGGCCAAGTGTGTGGATGTGACAGAGAGAGAGAGAGAGCCCTAAACAACACACAGCCCTGTGAATGAATAGCGTGTGAGTATGGTGCTACATGCATGCACACGTGTTTTAACCTGAACAATACTCTTGACACGCTCCATACCCATCAGATGTTCATGCCTACTGAGAACAGGCTTCAGGAACAAAAGAGGACAAGAAAAATAACTGGTGCACATGAAAAGGACCATATGACCTTCATCCTAGGACGCCTTTACTGTCACCCTGTTGGATGCCTAACATGAACAGTGTTTTTTCCTCTGATCCTGATCTTTAGGTCAGCTTCCCAGACTGAGATCTTAATCTCTAGCATTATAAAAAGAAAACAAAACTGCATAAATCTGCAAGGCTGAGGCCTACTTGGGCAACAGCTCCTGCAGGCTCAAGGCTTACCTGGATAACTAGACCAAAGGTCACACATGGGCTATATCATATTCCTCATGACTCAATGGCTGGTGGTAAAAGATCAGGACAGATATGAGCTACCTACTCATTTAATGGGTATATTGCATTAATATTCCCTTCTATTCATCCTTCTTAAATATGCAAATATGTGTTAGCACCTACATCCCTGTCAGTTTTACCAATATGCAAACTGATTCAAACATACCAACAGTGAATTATGAGTGAATCATTAGTGGTGAGACGATTGGTTACTGATCATCCATATTAATTTCCTCTTTAATCACAATGATGAAATTTTTGCATTAATCATGCCACCAAAGTAGACATTACACAACTTTATATGATCCATGGCATTATGGCATTATATAGTGACTTGCTTAAGCAAGACCTATGCATTGAGTAATCTGGTTCCAGCTAGTTCGCTCTGGTTTTAATTCCTAGAAACACAGCGGTCCAGTGCTAATTGACTTCAGACAAAGCAGACTGAAATTCTGGTTAGGGCCAGTTTTGCCCACAATTCCTTTCAGACTGCAATTTACAGCTCATGTGCAGTTCCAACACAAAGTGGACCCATGCATTGCTGACTCCAGTGGAACACCCGAGCACAAGGGCTTCCTGTCCCCAATACTTCTCCTCACTTCCTCTTTCTGTGTGTGTGAGATTTGTACAGTCCAGCACAGAGCAGCATCAGCAGCTTTGCCACTACAGGCACCGATATTCCCAGACTATTTACTTTTGGCACTAATATTCTTATAGACTACAAAAGGGAACCTTTAGGACCTGACTAACTTATTTACTGACCTATCCATGCTCTGTGTACATAGCTACCAATGCTGATACACAGCATATATATAACTTATAAAATGTAGAAACTGGTAGTAGATCTACCTGAATAATGCAGATATTTAAGAACAGCAGCCCAGCCTCACCTAAACATTCAGCTCCTCTGGAGTGTATTAAATACATCATCAAAAATCAGTTTGAATTATTGGTTTTACTTTTAAAACAAATATTTTGAAATACCGATCATCCTGGTGCATCATTAATAATTATCATGCCCGTCATGAGTTTGATTTGGAGTGCTACTTAAAACTGTGCAGGGCAGCAGTTTCCCAGAGCTGGAGTTGAAAGCCCCTGCATTAATACACCTCAGTAGTATAGCATTTTAAATCGGAAAAACTCAATGTTATGTAGCAACTCTGCACAAACACTGTAGCAGTCTAATTTGAATAGCTTTGGTATTTTAACACAAACTAAGTTAATATTTCTCATTATTCTGAATGCTTTTTGAAAAATATATATATATATTTTTTTAAGCATTAAGCATTTTTTGTGGGCAGAGTTTGGACAGGTCCATTAAACCTGCAGCTGCTTCCTCGAAGAGAATCAATGTAGTATGTCAGCGTGTCAACTTTATTTTATCTGTGATTTGCCAGCTGTTTGTATCAGCCATGCTGTACATTCAGAGGCTATAAAATTTCACTGTGATTCCACTATCTCAATTATATTATCCTGTACTAATAAATCTCCCCAACAGGCTGCCTGCTGCTAATCCCCTCCAACCCCCTATTGATTCTGCTCTGTTGCTCTATAATCTTCTGCTCTGAAGTGGTTTATCTGTCAGCTTGTTTGATCACCAGCCTTGAAGCGTACATGGGCTTTCCTGTCTACATCATGGTGAATCAGTAGTATTTATATATGGGTTTATTTTACTGTTAAAAAGGAAGGATATATGGTGAATTCTTTTGAGTGTGATAACAGGCTGTGGTACTCAGTACTCTGACCAATGTAATGTTTTTTTTAACGTGACAACAGGAAGCAGAAGTAGGTTGTGGCCACACCGCACTGCAGGAGAACAGTGCGTGCATAAGGCCCTATTATTCCTTCTATATTTGTAGTATAGAAACTTGAACTTGCATCTTGAGTTAACATACGGCTCTTTGTGCTTTCTATAGAGAGGATTTTACACACAAACAGAACGTATCCTGTATACAGTAGCTGTATTGAACACTATTAATATTATACACTAACAATAGCCATTGAGCCTGCATCCTACAATAAACAATATGTTCCCAAAAAGTCTCTTCCGCTGAGTGAAAATTAGAGAGTGCTTTTTCAGTTTCTTTTGAACAAAAAGCTTTCATTTCTGCTTCCGAACCTGTGTTACAAGGACAGGCGTCACAACTATATCGAGGTGCTGCTTAGTTCTGAGACACAATGATGATGGTCATAGCACTTTCATCTTTTTTTTGTGACCTGAACCAACAACCTTCTGACTTGTACTCAGAGCTTCTGCACTTTCAAGTGAGCGCTGATTGATCTCCTATCAGTTAATCACATGTTTAATGAATGGTAGTGACTTGGGGCCTAAAACCTAGCCAAAAGATTAGCCTACAGTAACCTTCACAGCCGACACCCTCATATCTAGTGGGCAGCTACTGTACACCAACTTGATGTTTGGATGTAGTCCAAGTAGACCAGCAGCTAATCCATCAGCACCCCTCACCTGAGTTTGAGTCTAATCGGTTCCAAGTATAGCAAAGGTGAAGAATGCATGAGCTTAGACCCTCCCTCCCACCCCGTTGGTTAGTCCTCTTCATTCCATCATCTTAATTAGCTGCTGCTTTCCTACTCTCTTAGCATTTTAGAAAGTGACGATACTGTAATTTGCATGAGTCAGCTGAAACCACACCACTACCACTCAGCTGCAGTGGCTTGGCCCAAAAACCTTCATAAGCTGGAGATCTACCTACAACAGGGCTGTATAATATGGATAATATATCTGCATTGCTATTATATTGCTACATATTGTAATTGTGATATGCCTTGCAATATTTTAAGAACCTATTAGTGAAACAACAAAGTGACTTAGTTAAAGAATAGCCTGCATTGTTCCATCATCTGGAGCTGTGATTCATCAAGATGCTCATAGTACACTGTAAAAAAACACTGTGATTTATTAGCATTGGCTCATTTTTAAAAATTCAAATGATATTTTAGCATGTTCACTTAATGTTCCGGCATGATAGCTTTATGTTATGTGTTCTCCAGCATTTATTGTTCTTCGTTCATTTTGCTATGGAATCTTATTGGAAGGAGGGCTAGGTAGAGAGAGAGAGAGAGAGAGAGAAAGAGAGAGAGAGGGAGAGAGAGATGTGAGCTAGGTAGAGACAAGTTGTTTGCACTTATGTACGGAGTGGCTGTGACCGACAACAGCTGGAAAATAAAGCACGACGACTTGTGCGAAAGCAGTGTCTCCTCTAACAGCGGTGAGCGCTATAATGTATTGTGCACTGCTGACCTACAGCCAGAACCCACAAGCTGCAACAAGACCCAGTTGGAGCAAAGCCAATAAACCTAATGCTCTATTAATATTAGGAATTATCTGGGTTAGGGGTCACTGTCAGCTGACCAAAGATTCTTTGCTGTTAGTGGGGAGGCTGAGGTGGACTGAAGCGATACCTGGAAGTGGTTCTAATGCTTTCTGAGAAATTCAGTGAAGCAGGCGCAGAACAAAGCCTGGCTGGTGGGCATCTGCAAGACACAATTCGACAGTCAGCTGATAATGATATTCACGTGAGAAGTGTGTGGAAGAGCAACCAGGGCAAAGCCAGAAGGTAGCTCAATTGACTGTTAATTAGACGTTTTAGGGACTGTAATGTTTTTCAAGCTTATTTCAGAAGGGTTGTTATTGCACTTGATTCCACATGAATCTTATCATCACGTCATGCAACTTTCCAGCTAATGTCAATGATAAAGCCATAACTCAAATGCAACTTCTGTAAATTTGTGCCTGGTTTGCTTCCTGTTTATTTCTGAGCACCCTCAACCCCTTCAATTGCAGCCTTATTATTCAATTATTAATCTTAAAATGTATTATTTAGTAAGTACTATGAATTATTTAGTAATCTCTATAGTACTATGAATTATTTGGAAATCTCTATAAAATGAATACATACGTTTTACAGTTATGAGAGTGAAGAACTGAAGTGTGGACCCATATAAAGACCCTTAGGGTCGGTTTCCCGGGCATGGATTACGTCTACACACTTAAAAATTGTTGGGTTCTTTAGTAAAGAAAATGCTTCGAGATAGAACCATGAACACTCAAAGAACCCTTCGCATGATTAAAGGGTCCTTTGCATCATGAAAGTGTTCTTCAAAATAATACAGTGTGTTTTAATTGGTTCTATTTAGAACCTTTTTGAAAAGCGTTCTATTATAGCACCGAAAAGTGTTCTTCCACTGTTCCGATGTCAAGCCTGTAACATAAGAAGAACCCTTTTCACAATATATATAGAACCCTTTGCAAAAGGTTCTATTTAGAACCATCTACAGTACATTCTCCCTCAAACTGAAGAACTCTTTCATGATGCAAAGAACCCTTTAATCATGCAAAGGGTTCTTTGAGTGTTCATGGTTCTATATAGAACCATTTTCTTTAATAGAGAGGCCTAAAGAACCATCATTTTTAAGACTGTAGTCTTGGACTAAATTGCAGTGCCAAGGGTGAATCACCACTGGAAATGCTTTGTAGTCTAGGCTTAGGCTTAATCTGGGGCTGGAAAACTGGCCCTTAGAGTTTAAGGGGTTAATCTGTGCTGTGTAGAAAGTTCCCCTGCATGCTGATCCCAAGCTTTTACTACCAAAGGTCTAAAGACGAGCTGGAGCAGTAACAAAGAGACTACCAATCTGGCCTCAGATCAGAACGTTAAAAGGGCAACTTCTACAAACGTCATCCTATCTACTGTGAATGATCTCCCCCTTGAGATCCCTTCGAACGTGTTCAGACTGTTCAGTTGCCATAGAAACCTCCCAGCCATGCTTCTCCTCAAGGTCACTCTCACCTGGCTCTCACAGTCCAGTGAGAAAAAGTGCCACTCTTATGCTGATTCTCCTAACGCAAACACAGATGCAAGCCATTACACGATCTACACTAAAACTGGCCTCCGATCAGTACAAAACAAAAGCTGCCTTGTTGACATACAGTTTTCTAACGTGTCAAATGCTGTTTAGTATACAGACAACCTATCAGCCTGAGTTGAACTGAGTTGTCCTGGCTGCACTATTCTGCTTCATCAAGCAGCTTAATCAACCCAAACAAAAGAGTCAATGTGCCTCTGGAAAACAGTTACTCTGCTGCAGCAAAGCTCTGAGTGCTTATCTGTCTGTCCCTGTTGGGAAGAACAAACCTTGAAGAAAAGTGTTGAACAAGACCACCTTTAACCCCCCTCTGGCTTAGAAATGTACCTTCAGCAGTCAGCTGAGTGGTGTTGACTGCTGTGAGTGCATGACATAGACAGATAAAGGAAGAGAAAGAGAGCAGCCTTGAGATTTGCACACTTATACCACAATTTGTGTGTGAGAACAAACCGTGAGGAAAAGTGCTGGGTAAGAACAAAACAGACCAAAGTAAGGTAGCTCCACTTTTAACGCAGCCTGGCTTAGAACTGTGCCCTCATCAGTCAGCTGACTAGTATGACTGCTGTGTTTGTGACAGAGGGAGAAAGCAGCCTTCTGATAGGCACTTTATGAAAAGGGGATGCAGAGCTTCTATAAGACTCCTATATTAAACAACTCTAGTGTGCTATTATAGATGACAGGCAGAGCTGCATTTATAATATATAGAGTAACATTATTATTATGCATTATATTATGCAGCACTATACAAGACTTATTAGTATGACTCTAGATCTTGTGCTGACAGCACACTTACCACATGACTAAATGGCTGTACGTCTATGCACCAGACTGCACCCTGCCATCCCCTTAAAGCCCAATGTACGGAATTACTCAGCACTCACCCACTATGATCCCGCAGGCACTGACCAGGCCGATCTCCTTCTTCAGTGCCACAGACTCTCCGGCAGGTTTCGCAGCCCCCGCAGCTCCATCCCCGCTACCTGCCGTCGCCACGCTGCCTCTTTGTCTCGGTCCATCCGTCATTTTTGCAGCTTGGGTCGTTCACTCGCTGTAAGACTGTGCGCTGAGCTGAACTGTGCGGCTGCTCTGCTGCCTGAAGGCACCGTTTGAACACGAACAAGAAAGGACACCTCTGTGGAGCCGGTAGTACAAAGAGTGAAGCGTTTTCTCTCAGTTTCAACCGTCTTTCTTTTAACGACAACAAAAAGTGTCTAGCGTTTCGTGTCGTGTGAAAAACTCTGAGGTGAGCACAACGGCATCGCGTGCGCGATGGATTAAAAACAAACAGGAAAGCAGACGCTTCACAGCAGACCAGAATCTCAGGGGCACAAACGGAGCACGGTATCGATCGAAATACGAAATACCAGCTTTGTATTTCGATGATTTTGTCAGGGAGAAAAGAAATAACAGCAGTCAATGTGACTGCTCAGATTAAGAACGATATTCCAATAGGAATGTTTTTGTCAGTCCGTGTGGAGTCCTTCTCTCTTTTACAAATACATGTGGAGTCAGTATCTCACCCTGAGACCCCTCACGAAGGTAAACAAAGCGATAAATAAAGAAAAATTCCCCCCTGTTTTTGACCAGCAGCTTCGCTCACGAAGAAAACATCCAAACAGCTGGCTCGTTTCAGGTGTGAAATTCAGAAGGCAGCGCCTCGGCAGAGGGGGGTTCTAGATAAACAGTGATGTGATGCGAGGAGCTTCGGCCGCCCTTTAAAAACCTGTACGCAGTGACGTAGGGAGGAGTAACCAGCCGTCGCTAAATAGTAGCAGCTACGGTCTGTCGTGTTTGGCCAATATAAACCTCCCCCAACCTCAAACCATCCCCCCCCACCCAGTACAGCTGGTCTCCTCTTTAATCCTAACGCCACCCCCCACCCAACATACACACATTTCAAGCCGTTTTTTTTCAAGACTGTTTCTTCGCTACCCCCACACATACATACCAACGATAATTAGGTCATATGGGTATCAAAAACCCTCAGACACATTTAAATGCACGCATATACGCACACAAGCACAGTGTAAGGACCGCGCCCATAGAAACTCGTTCATCAGTTACTCTCCAACAATGAATAAGGCTCATTTAGGGCTATGCACCCATCATTTGTCCTCTGTTCCCATCTATACACCTTATCAAGAAGCATTATCAGTGCTGTAAAACATCTTATCACCACTAACAACCATTGATGCCTGTTTTACAGGGTTCTTTACATGCAGGTTCCTACCTAGCCTCTTTTGCAATTTTTAGCTACATATTGTATCATGTGTCCAACACTGTGTAGTATACAGAAATGTATTGCAACTGTAGTCCTGCCTGCACTATTCTGCCTCATCAACCAGCTTAATCAATGCAAACAAAAGAGTCAGTGGGACTCTATAGGATAGAGTTACTTTAGAGATGTTAATCTAGAGATAAACAATATTTTGTGAATCATGTGTGTGATACTGACCTTGTGTGTGTATGTATGCATGCATGTATGCATGTGAGGGGATTTTGATGCTTATATAACAACAACATTTATTTGTATAGCGCTTTTAACAACTAGTGTTGTCTCAAAGCAGCTTTACAGAAAAGCAGCTTATATGACCTATTTCTCCGAGATATGAAGCTGAGAAAACTCTGATATCAGAGAGCCTGTCAGAAATGAATGAAGGAATGGAGCGCGGGACGATGCTGCTGCAGTATTCAAGGCGAGAACACTGTAGCACAGCATACTAATCGGAGTAGTGTTGATCAAAGGCCATTTCCCAGAGAGTGAGAGAGAGAGTGAAAGAAAGAGAGCGCACATTGGCACATTTGCCAATATGATAAGGCCACAATTTTCCTCGTTGCTACAAGAGAAAGAAGCAAGTATTTAGGGACGCAGAGGCTGTCACAGAATGTACAATACTCACCATTCCCAGTACTTGTGTCTTTTCTTTTTTCACTGAATACATTCGTTTCAGCTATATTTTGCGTGTGTCACTAAAGCTGTAATAACGCTGCTTTACAGCTCACCTGAATTGGAAAATAGTGCCATGTTAGCACAGCTGTGAGCTCCCCACAAAGTAATATGCTTTATTGCATGCGTACATATACACACCAGGACTTTATACCTTGTCAGAGCCCATATATATATATATATATATATATATATGGTGAAGGCAAAAATCTTCTTTACTTTCAGTGTACGTAAAAAAGTAATTTTTAATTTGTCGCTGTCCAGACAGAAACAAGTGTCTCCACTTTTAATGGAAGTTAACATAAATTTTACTCCAAGCAATTCCGGAGCTTTCTTTATTTTGGTCCTCTCATTATGAAATTTTCACACAACATAAAGGGCAGCTAGTGTGTTCAGATATTGTAGAAAAAAAACATTGATAAAAACTGAGATACTTGTTTGTTTTGTTTTTTTGGACAGTGATGGTATGCAAGTAGCAGTATGTATTAGTAATATGCCCCCTCTGTTTTATATATGTAAGTACCTATAATAATATACCACATAGTTTCTACATGAAAAATGGAAGCCTAACCCTAAACTTAACCTTAACCTCAGTAAGCAAAAATAAATGTTTTTAAACAAAAAATGAAACATGGAGCTTTTTGTAAACAGTATATTACAAAGTCAGGACCAACACTGTAGGTTAACCCAGTTTCAATCTTGTTTTTCTACAAAGTAAGGACATTTGTGTCCTTGAAATGAAATGTACAACCACAAATACACTTATGTATGTAAATACCAGTGCTAATGAAATAAAGTGCAGTGGATCCTCCTCTGGTTACTAATATAACTCATATTAGTACTCATGACTGTCTTGTTTCCATAACAGGCTTAGAGACAGAATCAGGACATTAGGTCACACATAAGCAAGATTAATGCCATCTCAGCAATCGGCAGTATGCCATGCTCTTCTCTGACTCTTCACAGTCACAAATAGCGATGTGGTTTCATAATTTCATACCTGTAAAATTTTTTATCTGTGTTTGGGAATAGAGCCCAGAGACAGTGCCACTGCCATGATATTACTTTACTGCTCAAGCTGATGTAAGACAGGACTTCCTTTGAGTAAAATCACCATATATGACAATAAGTGTCACTTAAAATTTTAAGTTAACACTTTGGCTGTTGTGACTTTGAAGGACAAATAGAGGTGCTTGTTGCACATAAGGGGTATGTGTTTGTGTTTGTCTTTGTTAATGTGAGAATATTCTAATTTTGTTTGTATTCTGCCATTTTAACCAATGTAGGTTCAGGTAAAGAAGAAACCAATACTTCTCTGGCTTCTGATTGGCTCTTGCTGCACAAACACATGAGGAAATGAGTCGGAAGGGGGTTTGAGCCTTGATGGGCGCTTTCCTGTCCAGCACTATCTGATTGACCCTGCGTGATGAAGCAAAGGACTGTGTGTACAGCACAGAGCTCAAATACTGAGAGAGAAAAAGACAGAGTGATAAAGAGGTGATAACTGGTGGAGAAAGAATGCAAACCTTTTTCAGTCGAATGACATACTTAATTAAAGCTTTAACTGCTTAAACTGCAATAGTCTGTGTTTGCACCCACTCCTCAATTCTTCACTATCATAACCACACAGAATGATTTGTAGTAGCTACAGAAAAGTAAGTCTTAAGATTAATAACTGAATAATAAGTCCAGAGCTTAAGGGGTTAACACTGTCGTGCACTGTACTGAATATGTCCTTATTACAGTCACTGTGTATACTGTTAATAGTATAAGCCTGCAGTTTAAGGGGTTATAATGCATAAACATAGACTTGGGAAATACCACTGTATACCACTGCATGGTAGCATTGTATAGTATTGCTGCCCCTGCTCTAATATGCCTAAATCAATGAGCTAATGAGCCAAATGTTCCATGTCAGAGCTTCACCGCACAGTGCCGTGGCCTCCCAAGCCTGAAATCGACCATGTCTGCAGTAACATGTCAGTAATTACCACAGAAAATTAGACACAAACTTGAAAAGCAAGATGTGCAGGGAAAACAACAGCAGTTTTGAAGTTGGCGTGTGAGCCAGCAGATAGTCATGAGGACGGGGTGAGTAAGACATGCTGTGGTGCCCGAGGGTTTAAACTCCAACATATTACCATAGATCAGCAACTCTTAAGAGTGTACAGATAAGAGAGTTGCTCAGATTGATTATGACCCTGTTCTACCTCTGTCAGCTCTCTCTCTCTCACCTTCTGTCTCTCAAACTCACTCACACACACACACACACGCACTTTGCTGATAACAGGGCAGTGAAAGGTGCAGAGATTTGCAGAGATATGGGGTTAATAAATAACTGGAGCTTTTAGGCCCGTTTGCTGCCCAGTGGCTGGAAAATTGGCCCAATAAGGCACGTAACTACACACACAAATCCAATCACAAGGCCAGCAAAGACTTGATTGGATTTTAGATAAGTTCTGAAAGAGTAATCCTACTGACAGCTTCTGTCTGGTGTTTCTCTTTTGCCTTTCTCTGATCAAAGCTGCTAGCATGGAATTCCAAAAGAAGCTAGATTTCCTTGCATGGTTGCAACTTTCTACAGTTGAAATGTCATTTTCCTTTTCTGGTAATGAAGGTGTTTCTTTGCTTGTACACAGTGTCTGAACAATTGAACCATGATGCTTGTCACTGGAACAGTAGCTAATCTATGTCAAGCTGTACTTTGCAAAATCAAAGACAATCTCACCAGATCATGGAAAACAGGGATTCTTTACAGAGGCGACTTATCTTTTTTCAGTTTTGTCAATGAAGGTGTTTCCATTGATTTTACACATTGCAGGCTGAACAAATGAACCATGCTAATCACTGGAACAGTAGCTAATCTATGGCTAGCTGTGCCGAGTGCATATAATCATAATGTTAACCTCAGTGCAGCATGACATCCCATTCGCTTATACACATTGCAGGCCAGTCTGGTTTAATAAATGAAATATGATTCAAGTCACTGGAACAGTAGCTAATGCTGAAATCTGATGTACAGGTTTCCTATATATTACATATATTAGCATATATGGATTTCCTTATATTCAAAGTACATTTGTGACATATGGACATATATGTGACAACTTATTTGAAATTGGCCATTTTCAAATATGGGACATATATTTTAGCCATATATCAACATATTCAAGCATATAGGTGTAACACATATATTTAACAATATATGATAAACAATATTCACATATGGATGGCCTATATTACTCATATATGCTAACTCAATATACGGTTTTTATGCATCTTCTTCGTTTCTTCCACATACTTCCTAATCAAATGAAAATTAGTATAATAGCTACATAACTAAACTTTAAAAGCATACATATTGTAAGCTATCCAATAAAAGCATTAAAATATGAAATAAATAAAAATATATTTCCCAGACACATTAAAATAATTCAGTATCTAAAAGCAAACAGATGACTTAAAAATTATAACTTTATTTAATCATGTGTTAGATATATATGTATGATCCAGGTATTATGAATACACCGATCAGGAATAACATCATGACCACCTACTAGTTTCTACGTTCATTGTCCATATTATCAGTTCCACTTACTATGAAGGTACATCAGTGTTACTGCAGTGCTGAGAATGACCCACCACCCAAATAGTACCTGTTCTGTGAGGGTCCACGGGGGTCCTGACCACTGAAGAACAGGGTAAAAGGGGGCTAACAAAGTATGCAGAGAAACAGATGGACTACAGTCTGTAATTGTAGAACTACGAAGTGCACCTATATAGTAAGAGGAGCTGATAAAATAGACAATGAGCATAGAAACAGGGAGGTG